ATTTGTTTATATGGGTAGTGGTTCTAGCAAACTGAATTCATGTAAATAATATAAAATAATTATTTACATGAATTCAGTTTTTTCAATTCATATTAATTTATTTTGAATACAGTCAGTTCAACTTTGTATCCGCGGCCATGTTGGATTTATAATGTTATTGATTTTATTATATTATTTTGTCATCGAAATTAAATGTGTGTACCAAATTCCAGATCAATCTGTCAACGGGAAAGTGCTGAAATTTCAATTTCTAATTTTACGGGTCGAGCCGTTTAAAAATCATGTAAAACATAGCTATAAAACTAGGACATTATAAATGAGAATGAATATGAACAATAAAATGCGTTCCCACAGAATCACTCGACTTTTCACCTTTTCATAAAAATGTTTAACGTGAACATTTATTTGTATTGACTGTACGTGGGATTTGTAAAGCGGAATTTCACACGTGAATAATCAAATATCTTTTTATGCGTGTATGTATTGTAAAATTCCATAGCGAAGCCAACTCTATCGTTGTCTGAAAACCATCAATAACATTCAGAGTATGAAGCCAACGAAAAGAAATTTGAAATCATAATATATAGGTTTATGATTAGCTTTATACTATAACTAGCTACAAGTTGAAGTTCCTGACGTTTATATGTATAGAATTTATGTATGGAATAGTGAAGCTGTGGTATAGATAAGGTCGTAATTATACTGTGCTATTTGGGTGCATATTAGTATTAGGTCAAGGTCTGTTTTTAATTAAATATTACGATTTAGTTTCGGCCTACTGTTTCTTAGCACTACTCCACTATTTTCGCATACTTGCGATTATATACAAAAATATTTTACACATTCTTCTTACCTATTTTCATAATTATAAAATACAGACATTTCCTACATCAAAGTGCAAGCGCCAGTAGTAGATATTTCAAAAAAATACTTTTATTGGTTTAAAACGCGAAAAAAAAACGTTTTAAACCGTTAAAAGTATTTTATTTAAATTTCCCACATCAATTTACTCTATAACAGAAACAATATATCCATAAACCTATAATTCGTGATTGCTAATCTTCACCTCTCATTATGCAGGGCAAAACAGTGCTCTCATTATTCAATGTTTGATTAATTATTATTTGTGTCTGATCTCATCACTATGCATGCACGATACAAAGCGGATAGCCTAAATATAATTTGCATTGGATTAGCGAAACTATCAATCTTCACCGAAGCAAACTTTATTAATCGGAAGCAAGTTTGTCAGGGCAATTAATTACATCCCTGCGGACTTAAGTTGGCACTTTACAGGTAAATCAGCCATACATCATAAGGTGATCTAGTGGAGAGGAAAGATATATTGGGCTGGGTACTGACGAAATGTTCACGGTGTAATTAACATCACACTCAAATGTGTAAAGAACATTCAGCACTCAAATATTGAAACCGATTGATTAAAAATTACTATATGGTTCGCGTTTTAATCTGTTAAAAATTGCTCGATTTGCCACTAGCTCAATCTACAGGTACTATAAATACAATTCTTAAGTACTGTAGTTTATGCGCGTAATACACTTAAATAAAACACTTTTAATAACTTAATACGCGACAAGAATCAGTTAAGTACAATTTAATTTTAATTTTTTTCTACGGCCCGCCTCTGCTTTATCTATCTATACAAATATATAAAACCGAAGAGTTTGCTCTTTTGTTTGAACGCGCTAATCTCAGGAACTAGTTTGAATTAAGGAATTCTTTTTGTGTTGGTTAGAGCATTTATCTAGGAAGGTTATTGGCTATATCATCGCGCTGCGACTAATAGGAGCGAAGAAACAGCGGGAAATGTGGAGAAAACGGGGAAATTTATTCATCTTTGTAGCTTCGGAAAAATGGAGGTTTGGAAAAGAAGAGGTTTGTAAATACAAATTTTGATGCCCAAAATAACTTTTCTACGCGGACGAAATCGCTGACACAGCTAGTGTTTTATATATTAATATTCTTAATTTAAAAACAAACATTTTTTTTTTAAATAGTAGCTCAATCGAATATTTCATTATTTACTCCATAGTAAGCTTAAGAGTTGCATTACATTGAACCGTTTGTACACAATAACATAAAACTGAAGTGAGTTACATATACACAAAAATATAAATTCGAATTACATCGAACAGTAACGAAATTGTATTCAAGTAGCTACAAAAACAACTTTATCGCCACGAAAAATGAAATTTGTGAATAGAGGAAATTAGTACGCAACTTTTCACCTTCGCGTATGCATTTTTATTCACAGAAAGTGTGTGAACTGTGAATTAAATTAAAAAGTAGCGAAGTAATTTATAACGAGTCCTCTAATTAAGCCACTAATGCAACGAACCTTTTATAAACGGGAAGAAATTTCCACCTCAGAATTTCAAAAATGGAATGCCTTTTACGAAACGTTTTGGTGTATAATTTTCACGAGATATTTCTTAAGTATTTTCTTGAGGAAGCTTAGTGTAAAGACGAATTTCAAATGAAGTGAAACTAATCTTTGCGAGATAAACGAGATAGATCTATTAACATATTATGTCAGACACTCAACTCATCTAAATAAATGTAATTCTCTTGATAGTAGTTAAATACCCCAGCCAAATATCATCTAAACAATCTGCTGTCGACCTATTTTGGCTTTGCTTTAATGATTTCAGTCCATGTTGCATCTTATTTCAGCTTACATAAACATGTCACAACATGTCTAATGACACTTGGACTTACGCAAACTTTTTTTAAAAGCATTCTAGGTCCCTTGCTCAACGTAAGCATATTTTATACCCTATGATTAATTGTATCAAATACATCATAAACTTCTTCTTCTTCTTTCGTTATTTAGAACGTAAGAATGATTCATACAATAAACAAAAAGAGTGGAGGTGTTTAAAAAAGCTGCTTCAGGATCAATATGTTACCAGTTCGATTCCCGCTATAAATATCTTTGTTCTAAGCCGCCAAGAGTATTCATAATCATCAAGTAGTGAGAAATACGCGGTCTCCACAATGAGGTATATTATTATTTGCGTTCCCTTGTCCCAGTTCCCTAATTGCTGCGCCGCGTTAATGACTTCCCCAATTTCAACGCAGACTCAACTCTTTGTTCTTGTCTATTGTTTATGCTTACTAAAAATTGTGACAGACATACGGAAATCTCAATTCGGGAACACGAAAGGGCTTAATTAAAACTCGAATCGCTGTCGAGCAAATTAATTGCGAATTTTGTATCATTTATCATGGACCACTTATTGTCTATGGTTGTGTTTCTAAAAAGTTCCTAATGGTTTCGCGATTTCAATGGTATAGACAATAGCGATCTATAACACCAACACTCTTATTACAAAACAAGGACTAACTCTTATACCTGGTCTAAACCCTGGTTGATTTAAAATCCTTATTACAATACGAAGTTTACCTTTTGTACTGGACTGACTATGGTACTACTGATTTATTTAGACCATCTTTAAGAGTTATGTTTACTCTACATATAGCGTTTGGAACCGTTAAAAGTGTTTCTAAAAATTAAATAATATGAAGAACTAATAATACAAATGGGATATATTTTTAGTCTGTTGTGTTTAATGAAATACAGCAATTCCATAACGACTTAAAACATAGACATAGAAATAATAATTTCGTACGTCACAAATCACATTTAATTTTATTACCTCATAGTTTGGATATCATAAATGTGGTTCTGACATGCCACACGGTTGCAATATAATGACTTCGGATTAGTTCTACGTGGAAAGAGAAAAATTACTGCGTATAAAAAGTTAATTTTGAGACAGTAGTGAAACAGCAACACAAGCTAAGCAATGAAACATTACAGAAAAACCTTGAAGCCACAGATTCGTTTTATAGACTATTCTGAAGGGACGACTAAAAGGTTATTTTTGTTTATAATCTTAAAATAATTAATAACAGTATGCTCTAGCAATTTAATGATATAGCTATGTGGCTTCAACAATAAAATAAAAAAAGATTTAAAAAACACGACAAACGCGGATAGGACTCCTAGAATTTCATAGTTTCTTGCAATTTCCGTTTTAATCATTATGTTAAAGCACTTGCTATCCAAATAATAAAAATAGAGGTACTTCTAAATTCAGTTTAAGTCACAACTTATCAAAAACAAGATTAATTTAAATGCAACGCCCTGTTTATATTTCATATGCGCACCGTTCTTCAAACTTTAAATGGAAACATAAATATGGTTTCAGTCTATCTATTGTTTTAATGTTCATTTGAATTTTGAATGCATTTTAATGTGGACATTTTCACAGAGAATTGAGGTCGTCGAAATGTGGCTGATATTTTCTTAACTCGAGTGAAGTTAGCTTATTATTTATGTTAAGGCTTAAAAGGCAACCTCGGTAGCTTAATTGTCAAATGAAGGTTTGCCTTAAGCACCAGCAATCCAAAAGATAAACGGTTTAAAAAATAATAGTAAAAGAAAATACACTGCAACTTATACGGACGTAAGTTTAAGTTAATAAATTATATATAGAAATTATACCAGATAGTACAAATTAAAACAAAAAAAAACCATAGTAAAATTTAACAAGAGGAATGTAGGTGAAATAACATATAATAGTAAAAACTCCAGTTAAAAAGATATTTCCTCATCAATTAAAATAAAACTGTGTCTCCCTGATTGTAGAGCACATTTCGTATAGTGATAAATAAAACTAATTTGTGCAACACTGTAAATAATATATAAATGTTAATAAATACAGTTATATAAAAGTTATCTATTTCTGCCCACATTTCGTTTCGGAATTTAATAGCTAAAACCCTCATGTGACTATGTAACAATCATTGCTATTCAATATTATCACAAAAATTTATTACTACATCCATTAAAAGACTTCGTATCACTAAAAAAACTATGCATTTGTATTACGACGTTAAGATATTTTGAATATTTGCTACATAAAGAACTCCTATAAAATAGTAGATAAGTAGAGCTTCAGTACTTATTCAAAATGAACATTTATATAATATCAGTCTTGCTACTAGTTGCAACTACTAAGAGTGACTGTTCAAAAACAATCACAATTTTGTCCGATTTCCAAAATAACGACGATGTAGAGTTCTTCAAAAATGTGTACCCTTGGATTACTGAGAACATTGGACCGTACTTAAAAGCTAAATATTACTTTAGCCACGTCGATGAGGCAACTGCACTCAGGTACTGTGCTCTCAGACAATTAAAATATCCAGTAGACCAAGCGTCATTCCTTCAGTGCAACACTGAAAATTCCTTCTACAACTGTAGTAGAGATTACTATCTCAACGAAAAGAAATTCAGAAAATGTATGAAAAAGAAAGTTCACAAGTATGAAAAAGAGGCTTGGAAAACGTTCTCAAAATACCGCCCGGGCAACACTCCTTTTATCATTCTGCCGAACGGTCAGACATTAGAAAACGAAAGTCCTAGAAAAGTTTTGGAATATATTTGTGAAGCGTTGTTTAAAAGAAAGAGATTGCCAAGGGGATGCATGAACCCTACACCTGAGCCCACAACAACCACTACATCTACGACAACTACAACAACACCAAAACCAACAACAACAGAAAAATCTACGACCACCGAAACAACTACAACAACACAGACGCCTACTACAACAGAAAGATCAACGACAACCGAAACGACTACAACAACACAGAAGCCTACTACAACAGAAAGACCAACGACAACTGAAGCGACTACAACAACACAGAAGCCTACTACAACAGAAAGACCAACGACAACTGAAACGACTACAACAACACAGAAGCCTACTACAACAGAAAGACCAACGACAACTGAAGCGACTACAACAACACAGAAGCCTACTACAACAGAAAGACCAACGACAACTGAAACGACTACAACAACACAGAAGCCTACTACAACAGAAAGACCAACGACAACTGAAACGACTACAACAACACAGAAGCCTACTACAACAGAAAGACCAACGACAACTGAAACGACTACAACAACACAGAAGCCTACTACAACAGATGGTCCAACGACTACTATGAAACCTACAACAACGTCACCACCTACAACTGAAAAGCCTATCACAACTCAAAGGCCAAGTACAACTGATAAACTTACTACAACCGAAAAGCCTATTACAACAATCAAAACTACTACGACATCCAATCCTAGTACAACTGAAGCTACAACAGGAAAGCCAACTACAACCGAAAAGACCGCGACAAAGGAACAATCTACAACAGAAAAGATTACAGTGACCGACGAGGTAATTCCTAGTGAGAAGTCTACTACAAAAAATATTTCTACGACTGCCAACAAATCGACAATCAGTTACCTGACTACTGATGAAGACTATACCAATGAAACTACAACGAAATCATTATCATCTTCGAGGCAAAGATATTTTGACGTCATTTCGTTCGTTTAAAATTAAATTAATTACAATTCTCTAATAACTAACTTTCATATATAAACGTTAGTAAAGAACACATATTAAAAATTATAATTAAAAACCGAATTAAGTGTTCTCTCGAAAACTTTCACCGTCGTGAAAACTTTTCCACCTCTTCTTGGTAAACCAGGCTGAAGTACTCCGGCTGTATGAGTGATTTAATGAAATGTTTGTATTGGATAATTAATCTGCTGGGTTTTCACTATGAAAATTCGTTAACTATGTGTATTCAACGTTCCTATTTATTTTCATTTGATCTTGTTAACGCAAATACAAAAAAACGTAAACTTTTTAAGTATTTGATATTATTACTTGGTCTTCCTTCCTATTTCTTTTATCTATAAACAATAGAAATTCTATATCATTGAGAACAATTTCAAAAAGCTTATAAGCGATATTAACGAAACTACATAACTTTTGAGAGCACAGCACAATTCTAGGTCACAATAAAAGGTCCTAATTCAATTCATAACATATCGAATCAATATAATTTAAATCAGATATTAATGGCTATGACTGTATGACTATATATATGACGAGTATGACTGTATAATAATTAAAAGGTTTTTATTTAATTTTTTCATTTAATACTGAATTTAAAGAACTTTCGATTGAAGTACATATTTCAATAAATTTTACATTCACGAATACTACTACCAAACTACTACTACCTATACTTTCTACCAAACAACTTCCTTAAAATAACAAGGCAATCAGAAAATATCGTAAAAGAGATCATCTTACAATTAGGTTGTACTTTATATTTAGGAAAATAAAAACTGTTTTCGAGAAACCGTTTCTCACCGTTAACGCAATCAGCTAAATGCGAAATGAGGAAGTCGGGGAAAGTGAAAATAATGGAAATGTCATTAGACCCAAAATCTCGAGATCAGTTTAAAAGATAAGAAATGATTTATACAATAAAAATAAAGCAACCTCACGAATCGCCTCCGCTCTTGAATAAAATAATGTTAAGTATACATAATTTATTTTATTGTTATTTGAATTACGCAGGGTGTAGGTAGGTTGACGTTTGGAGATGCTTACAATATTTATTGACTTACCAAGTTACAAATAATTGCGTCAATGTTGCTGGTATAAATAAACTCTGTGAACACTTTATGTAATGTATTGTATGTTAAACATGTTGCCCAGCGTTAAGCCCGAATGGTCCTAGGAAACAAAATTTTATTTCGGTCGGGCAAGGCACCGTCTGATAAACTGGAAACGGAATTTCACTTTGTGTTTACTGTAAAATGTTGAAGGAATTTTTCTAAAAATATAATTGATATTTAATTGCACATATCGCACATTATAGAACATCACATAGTGATACATAGATACATATTGGAAAATAAAATATAAGAGTTGGTCCAGTGTTTAAATTGTCATTTGTAACAATGATGTTCTAGAATATTCCTCGAACGCTGAATACATTCTGCAAACAAAACTTAATATTTTCCGGTCATTTATTCACGTCGTACCCCGTATTTTGTAGCCGACAGTCTTTTTACAAAACTCGCCCCGTTTAACACAAAGGCTATCTTTTATATATTACAATACCTTCTACAATGAAATAAGAAAGTCTTTGTAGTATGTTGGAATACCGTAGCACCTCTCTGGGACAGGCACATTTGTATGGCCGGCTTCATCGATCTTATTTACAGGCTAATATTTGTCCAAGCGTAATATCGAAACTAGAACAAACTAACTTTATATCCTACAATACTGGTCTTGATCTGTATAAATACGGTTTATATTATTCTAATTTATAGTTTTTCTGGAACATGTTGAACTTCGTCTGGAAATCTGGATATTACCATTTAATATCCAGTAAGAATATTGTCCGGTCATAAACCACCGTTAACAGAAGAAAAAGCCATAAATTGAATTCGTGTTTCCGTTTCAATTTATGGATATCTGAATATCCAAATCTATTATAGATTGACATCGCATCTTGATGTGATGTTATACAGCTGAGGTTATTTACCTTCCATCAAGTTAACCTTACACTTGTCTGTCTCTGTCATAAAATAATATGAATTTCCGAATGTCCAAAAATAGGTTTATATCGCATCTTACATAGCTGAGTAATGTCATGACTGTCGAGTAAACCTCGCGCTTTGTCTATTCTGTTCTGTCATAAAGAATCTTAGACAAAACAATAATACATAGCGCCCGCTTGTATGGTACTGTTATTTAGTACTCCATAAATAAGGAGAAGTATTAAAGCAGTTTAGAAAGCTAACACCCGCTTGACACGACCAATTTCCACTCTTTATTTATATGAGAAATCCCAAAAGCCTAATAAAACATTGAGTGGACGCGATATAGTCTAGGAGCCAATGATCTCTTAACTGCCTCCAACCGTAAGCAGATTTTAAACATTTACATCTTAAGATCGTTAGCCTGTTAAAACGTATAACATTCGTCTTTGGGCTTGTCATCATTTTGACATTTAAGATAAGTTCCGTTTTATTCAAATCCTAAAACTAAAATGTATTTAATTATAATTGATAAAATAGAAAAAAATTGGCTCTTAAATACTGTCTGTAGTTTTCGCGAGTCGAACACTAATCTGTGACCACGGCTGCTGCAATGCATCTGAAACCTTAGGCCGTATTTACAATTTCCAAATAAATTTAACTATTGTATATCGCGTTTTAAATCGTTAAAGTGTTTTATTTAAAAATAGCTTTTATGATTCACAAGATGAAATGACCCATCTCTTACGCTATAACTTTAAACGGGTTTGGTTTACGTAAAGGCTTAATACACGAAACGGCTATACCGGCCATAAAACCTACACAAAAGGCCAAATTTACATTTCGGGCGCGTTTTACATTTTTCAAGCCAATCCACACGCGAGACCGCCCGCCGACTTATTTTACTAACTACCGTCATTTCTAACACGACAAGTGTGAGTTATCTTAATTTAATAGCGCCATAATTCTGAGCGTACATTTAATTAAGTTAATAAATGTATCTATCAGTTTGAATAACTGATAATGATATAAAATAATGAAAGTTATATAAACTCTGACGATAAAATCACAAAAAAACTAATTCGTTTTTTACAGATGTTAGGGCTTTGAAATATAATTATTGTTTATACGTATACAATTCCATTGAATAATATAATACTCATTATTTACTTGTTATTAAGATTTGAAAGAAATCTTGTTATATAAATAATGTAAGGTGCTTAGCTTAAAATTATCTAATTATTTTTAATCTTTAATACTGCTATATTCTTGCAGTATTGAAGATTAAAAATGAAACGTACTAGCATGCAACTTTTAATCACAAAGATAGGTTCGTATCCCCCAGGTCTCCTTTCCTCTTTACAAAGAGGTATATTCTATACTTAGAACCTTAATAAGAAACTAATAATAAGAACTTTTTCTTATACATTTTTCGTGTGTACCATACCATAATATTGTGGTGAATAAATTAATATTAAATGTAGCTATCGGAGGTTTAAATGAAAGGGTCTAATGCGGAAATTAAGATAGAACGAAAAAAAGATATTCTCTCTATATTAAAATATTTAGTGATTATTTGAACAAGCAAACAGAAACGAATATTAAATTTCTCACATAAAAAATTTTGAGTAAATATTCAGTACAAATTTAACCTTAGTATGAATATGTTACTTCTAACGCTGATTAATACGCAAAGTTCGTGACAAAGGCCATTTAAAGAGCGGACAGAATAAAACTTATTTACACCTGGCAGGATCATTTGTCTTTCGCCATATGAATATACATTATGTATAATTAGATTTCAACAAAGAAACAATATAATAATTATTAGAAAATCTGCTTCAATTAATGATTTAAAACTAAAACAAATGTATTAAGAAGCTCAATTGATACTGATGCAAAAACTAATTTTAAAAAGTCAACAGAGTACTTGTAAGTCGTTAGATAAACGCCAACACCACATTTTCGACGTTCAGTTCTTGTAGAGTCACAAGTAGAGAAATATACCCTATAATAGACTCAGTATCTAACAGTTGTTTAAATCAACCTTAACCTCCTACAAGTATGTTATGTTTTAAACAAACTATATTATACATTTCAGTAACTATCAAATTGCTTATGTGAAGCGAAAATGCCATATAACGACACTGTAACGACGAAATTTCTAAGCGAAACACTTGTAGTTAGCGGTAAAATTATAATTGTTTTTATACTTTTAATAACACTAATTTAAGAGCTAAATACTAATTTAAATTAAACACTTTTATCGGTAACACGAAATGTGTTTGTTAAACTTATTTACAAATTATTTTTAATACGGCCCGACGTTTCGGATGCTTTGCAGCAGCCTTTTAAGCCGTTAAAAGTGTTTTATTCAAATGTGCACTATTCGCATAAATTACGGAAAGTACTTAGCCAAAATAGTTTCCGTACCTTTACAAGTAACAAGAATTTATAAAAACTTCGAGTTATTATATTTAAATAGTTTTTTTATTTATTACCTTTACTTAAAATCGTCTTATAACTTTTCTTCTGCTAACTTATGTGCCACTTTCAGACATTTAACTTCCGAAATGGGAAACTTTCATCGTGCCGTTTCATGAATATTAAATGAATACACCTCCAAAATAACCATTTATTGTTAGACAAAACTGAATTCATAACGTCGGTAAAACTTATTATTTATTACGCAATAGGCACTCGCTAACTTTGCGAGTTTAAATTGAATTTTCCTAATACAACAAGTTGCTATATACGAGGTTTTCCTTTGACACGGTTGTGTATTCATAAAATATGATATATTAAGAAATTCACATGGTTAACAGTCGCTTAAAATGAATATTTGTTAACAAGAAGGAAGCTTTAATAATTCGTTGTACAAAATGTTTGTAAAACAGAATTTAACAGCAACACGGTAAATAGCGCATATATTTTAGATGAAAGAAATTTGAATGCTTTTTTTAACTCTTCTATTATAGTACAAATATTGCTCAAAATTCACAATTCAAGTAAAAGCAGTTTTTCAAGTCACGACTGAAATTATTGCATATCTTCCTCTGGTATTCGAACCTCGGATTCCTCTTGCTAATAACGTGCGTTACCATTGAGCCAGACGTAGAAACAAACACGATACCTATAAATTCTTGTGACAATAATTATGTTATTAAAACGCTAGAATACCATTAAAGCGATCAAGATTATTGCAAGCAGGAACCGATAATTGAATTCAAAATAATAAAAAAAACGTAATTGACAAGGGAATACCGTATAATAAATGCAGACAAAGCAACGATGGGACCGATAGAAATACCTCGGAGGTAATAAGATTCTCGGAGCTCGTTGAGAACCGTCTAACGGTGGATTATAATTTAATCCATCCACTTTATTTAACTCCCGAGACGAGGCGATATATCAAGGACGCTTTTCTTCTAATAGACTTATAATTTTCCAATCAACTTTATGTTACGTGTATTTTCACGTATTACGGCAGATGCGACGCACGTAATACCCTTGCGGCCGTAGGGGAGGTAGTAATATAGATAATAAGCTGTGCCCGCGGCTTCGTCCGCGTGGAATAGTTATTTTGGGCATTAAGTGTTATTTTTGCAAGCAACCTCTTTGTAAATAATAGCTGTTACCCACGACTTTCTCCGTGTCCCATTGTTCTTGCAAGTTAATATTATATTAAAAGATAGATATACCGTCGCGGCCAATTTTCTAATCAGTTTATAATTTTTTTGACACATGTCGGATTAAATACTGTCTTTAAATAAAACACTTTAACGGTTTAAAACGCGATATATTAGTTAAACTTATTTGAAAATGAGTTTTAACTTCGGCCCGACGTTTCGTTCGGTCTCCCCGTGACCACGGCTGCTGCAAAGCATCCCCAAATATATTTTAATTAAACTTGTTTGTAAAATAATTTTTAACTACGGCCCGACGTTTCTACGTCACACAAGTTCAACTAACGTTTTAAACCGTTAAAGTGTTTTATTTAGATGTATACTACTCGCGTGAACTACAGACAGTATTTATTCAGACAAAAATTGTTTTCACATAATATGCTATATACGAATAAAAAGACTACGTAAAAGTATTACCAAATAGGGATAAATATTTAAACACACACCATTACGTTGATACATCGTCGGTTTTATTGCCTTTAAAAACATCTCTGGAGAAATCCTAATTGTATTTTGTCAATATCTTAAAGAACACTTTTTAAGGTATATATACAGACATACTAGATATAGTTGTGAAGCCTCCTGATACATAAAATTTTTAAACATATTCAAAATGCTTAAAAACGGACGGACTCGTTGGTCTTACGGTAGCAAATTATGGCTAATGATCACCGGGTCGTGGGTGCGATCCCCAGCAGGTCTTCGTCTAGAAATCTGGATATTAATTGGGTGGTAGTAATATAGAAATTCCGTCCTGGCCACGAACCACCGTCCACAGATAAAAAGGCCGTGAAGCTTAATCCCGTTTCAGTTTCAGTCTGCGAATTTCCGATTATCCAAAGCTAAAATAGGCTGACAGCGCATCTTGTTTAGATGGGGTATATAACCTACCATCAAGTACCCCATATCTATCCTCAATCATTAAAAAAAATCTAGTTGTGACTCTTGTGTATTTTTATTCATCAATTTTATTTCTTGGAAAATAGGTGTATAGACGCCTGATCTCTGATATGGTGGACCCATGGTTCGAACCCAAGACTTCTAGCGCTCAACACAATAGCAATGCAAAATCATTGCAACTGGAAGGTGACAAGGGGTACTGACAAGTGATAAAAGGAAATATCAAACAATTTCCTCTCTCTCATTTAATTTACGTAGGTACTTTAATAAAATGAAAATTCAACGTAGACAGTTATGTACAGTGCGTGCGTATGGGGGGAAATCTTTTTGTTTGTGTAAGCTACACCTCATTTGCGCTGCTTGTTACGAATCTCTTGAAACGAGGGTTTTGTAGATTGGCTATATACGTTACAGTCGTGGTGATTAAATAGCTATTGTAGATAATGGCTGATTATTATATATAAAACCAAAATTGACCAGAGAATTTAATTATTTTTTTATTTATATATTTAATTAAATTATTCATGCTGGTCAAAGTTCGCCAAAGTAATAACTCATAACCCCTCCCGCTCTTCGTCTCACATCTTTAAATTTTACTACATAAATTAAAAGTTAAATAACTATATAACAATTTTTATGATTGAGTAGACAAGCGAGTCATATAACATCATAGCAAGATGGGCTTTTAAGCTATTTTAGCTAGGATATTCGAAATCCACGGACTGAAAGCGAAATTCGGTAAAACTTCAAACTCAAACTCATCGACATTCCTACCCCCATGTTAATTAAGGTAGAATTATAATCTATGGCATTATATTTGTTAATTATTAAAATATACTATATATCTTTATAATTGTACCTTTAAAAAGGTAGTTAAGTATGCTTAAGGCAATTTGAAATATAATTTTAATATCTTAACCTGTTTGTTTTATTACATTATCTAAGTCTTAGAATGTATGTATATACCTAGTGGATGTGATTAATTCTGACAAGTTAATTATCACTTTATCTAAATTGAGTAGACATTATAAATAATTTCTACTTCATTTAGAAAAGTATAGACTTAACAAAAATAAGTATATCGAAGACTTTTTAAATCCGCAATCAAATAAAAAAAAACACGGAAAGTTTCAATGTAAAAACCTCTGCAATGTTTCGCTAAAAGGAGAAAATGTTCGAATTGAAAAGCTTTCTGGAGTAGATCCTTTACGTTTGCTATTATTAAAAATATGAAGCCTTTTCCGGATATCCACTTTTAGGTACTTAAGTATCGCGTACTCTTTATAGTCTTGTATTTAACCTTAACGCGTCTTAAATATGTTATTAATAAGGAAAGTATATTTCACTATTACAAATTATTATTATTATTTAATTATACATTTATATAATAGTGATTTTAAATCAGTCAATAAAAAATATATGGTTTCTCCAAATTTCATAAATTTAAAAACCAAATTTAAAAAAAAATCAAAGGACTTTGCCCCATCATATTAAATTACGCATTTAAGTTTACTTTCATATGTTTTATATGATATTATATAGCAACGGTGTGCATATTTTTAATTAAAAATTCGCCCGTAAACTATACATATTAAGTTATTTATAAGATTAAGATTTTATTATGTATTTGGTTGGTTGAAAATTAATGCTTTTTACGAAACAGTTTTCTATTAGATTAACTTTACTATGTTGATTATTTGTGCAACGAATATACTAATAAGGCTAAAAGCCCCACAAAGTACTGTAAATAACGCTTTATATAAACAATTAATAATCACGAAATTCAGTGAGAATTTAATGAAATTGTTTTCTCAGAAGTTTGGAACAATAAAACTGCGGTCAGTGACACCTGGCATCCATTAATTACTATCCTCAATAATTTGATAATAGAAACCTCTGTCCTTCGCACTGCCTACAATAATTTACGATTAATAAGTAAAATTTGATATTGTTACAAATTTTTAAGTGTAGAATGTAGAAGGCAAGACAGTAATCATTTTAAAAAGAAAACGCTACGATATAGAAAGCTTTAGAAAGAAATTTATTCGTAAGTATTTCATGTACAAGATTGATGAAAATAACTTTATGTCAAAATACCTACATCACAATAGCCATTTTTATCAAAGTCTTGTAGATAGAATGTTCCGGAGATATTAATATATTTATCTCCGGAACATTCTATTATCGATTAAGATTTGGTGTATAAATATTACACTTAAATAAAGATATAACGATGTTCTTAAATAAACTTTTTTGGTATCGCAAAATACTTGTTGCCACGTGAAATCCCAGTGCTAGCTACCACTTAACAATTTTATAGAAGGTAACAGCAATTATAATGAACCTTAACTGACCTGTAATTGCCCACAACTCCTTAAGGCACTCGTCCCTCGAACGCTGAATCGCCGACCGCTTCTCCAAATTGGGTCCTGACTCCAGGTACTCGAACAGCAAAGCACCAAGCAGTACGTATATTATCACTAAGACAACCAATCCCACTTGTGAAAATGCGGCTTTCATACAACTTGTTCCAACTCGGCGAAGAAAACTAGGCCTCTCATGTCGCTCTAATGAAGCCTCAGAAGACATCGTTCTTTATTTTATTCTAAACACTTGAGAGTTTATTTGTCACTCGTGTGCATGTCTGAGAAAAATTATATACTAAAATACTACGTGAATTTCTTTTAGTTTTTTAATGTGTTTTATTTTGTGGAATAAGACTAGTTAGAGAGTTATTACACACTTAATACTTAATTTGTTATTACACGTTTTAATTAAAATTTAGTTTATTTTTACTCAAGTATTAAGCAATAATGCTTTAAACCTTATATTAATAGTATAACTTATTATAATCATATTATATGTCATACTTCATTTTCTAGACCTTTTGTTCAGTTATTTAGCGTATAAATAGTCGACCTACTCCGCTCACCATTTAGCACTATAAAGTTATGAAACACTAAAAGAAACCTATTTTTAATAATATAAGTTTAAAATCTTATTTATATTTTAATTATCCTAATTCGTTAAACGTTTTAATTACTTCCATATCACTAAACATCGCAAAGTTATCGAAATCGCAGAATACACTCAACCTCCCTCTACGACGACTGAAATAGGACTGAAGCAAGTGTGTCCCTTTTAAACCCCTTGCTGCCGGCTCACCACTATTTCATTTCACCCAACAAACGGCGCGTTCGGAAAGCATTTCCATGTGTTACAAAATAATTATTAGCAGTGACATCTTTTGAGTGGTTACATAAACTAAAATAAAGTGTATTAAGCGCCATCTATTATTTTGATTGTAAACTAAAAAAAATACATTTTCGCTTTTGCTCTATTTTCTATTAGTTCAGCTAAGTGAGTCTAGATATCGCTTTTTACAATTATACCCAAACTAGTACCACAGATTAAGAACGTGTCTTATTTAATATCAATAAATGACACTTGACATTTAGTGAAGCACGCTCAACTGCAAATCGTTGATATCAAAGTATCGATTGTTAGGCTGCATTTTTGCATAGTTTTAGTTACATACGTACAAAAAATGGGTATTATAGATATTTAACCTATACTTTTATACATTTGAATGTAAATTTCAGTTGCTTTTGCGATTTAAAGAATGTATCAAAAACATTTATTCAAAATATTGATGTATGGAATTTTGAAATATTTTCGATTTTCTGTAATGCTGAATCGACTTAAGGAAATATTATATATCCTTAAGTCTTAATATATAATATCGATTACGATTAACAGTTTCAGCATCCGTACACATCACTAGCAACCTGGTTGCGGTGGAGTGGCGGTGACACGCTATGTGTTGTGGGTTTTCTCCTAACATTTTCGAATAAATTGTCCTAAAATTAATTATTTTAGGTATATCTGAGAAGAGTACTAATAATTACATAACTATTACAAGATGAGTACCATATTGGAAAAAATTTCAGCCATAGAGGCCGAGGTACGTGCGAGAGGTTATGCTATTCGAGAAACTTTTAGAATAGAAGAGAAAACAAATGCAAATTTTATTAAACACAATTAATTGTATATAAGACAACGCTTTAACTATGTTATTTTTTAACCGAAACGTTATCGTCTTCCGACGAAATATTTCAGATGGCCCGAACGCAAAAAAATAAAGCCACTGCACTCCACTTAGGTATTTTAAAAGCAAGATTAGCTAAACTAAGGAGAGAATTGATTACTCCCAAAGGCGGCGGTGGTGCTACAGGCGAAGGTAATGCCAATAAAATATTAATAATAACTAAGTCCAGGTTTAAGCAGTGATGGTAAATTAATGTACTCTATTTTAAGGAGTAATCTTGCTTTTATGGTATAGACAGAATAATATCACTAGTTTTCAAAGCCTTTCGTTAGTAGTTATATAATAATTATTATAAAGGTAAAAACACTTACCAATTCTCATATTATTCCAGGTTTCGATGTTGCGAAAACTGGTGATGCCCGTATTGGTTTTGTGGGTTTTCCATCAGTAGGCAAATCGACTCTGTTGTCCAACTTAGCTGGAGTGTATTCAGAAGTAGCGGCATATGAGTTCACAACATTGACCACTGTTCCTGGTTGTATTAAATATAAGGGTGCTAAAATACAGGTATAAGTTATAAAACTCTAAATATGGGGTATAGTGAAACATGGTTTTGTATTAATTACAAATCTATAATATCCTATAATAAATCAATAAAATTTTCCTAATATAATCTATAATAAATTATGATGAAGATAGACTAGCGTATGATGCCCTGTTTTTCTATATTATCCATCAAAAAAAATATAATATAATAGTAATATTTCTACATACTACTATTATTTACGTTTTTATGAATTTACTTAGTATGCCAGTTTGTTTTTAGTTGCTGGATTTGCCTGGTATTATTGAAGGTGCGAAAGATGGTAAAGGTCGTGGTCGTCAGGTTATTGCTGTAGCGAGAACATGCAGTCTAATTTTCATAGTATTAGATGTCTTAAAACCGCTACAACATAAGAAGCTATTAGAACATGAATTGGAAGGTTTTGGCTTGCGGTTAAACAAACAACCACCTAATATATATTTTAGGAAGAAAGACAAGGGCGGTATTAATTTGAACACTACTGTAAGTATTAATTAATTCTATTAGCTGCCTTATGCTAACATTTATTGATCATTTATCTTGTAGAACCTTTTAGTCAAACTGGTATAAACTTTAAAGCTAGTTGATAGTCTCCATGGTGTCATGGTTGCAATGCATAGCCAACAATCAATGATTGTTGGTTCAGTTCCCACCAAACCCAAAATTTTCATAATTATTTGAGAATGTGGACTTCATCTGGATATTAGTAGGAATATTGAAATTTTGAAAACAAAACATATAACTATGTACTTTGCCTATAAATAACAACTATTATTTAAATTTGAAATTAATATGCCACCCACTGAATAATTTCATATTGAATCAAATAACTTTGTTTTTTAGACTTTTGACATAAGAAAATGGGATAACCACATATAATTTAATTTCCAGTGTCCACAATCAGAGCTTGATGTGGAAGCAGTAAAGACTATACTCTCTGAATATAAAATACACAATGCTGATATAACTTTGAGATATGATGCTACAAGTGATGATCTTATTGATGTGATTGAAGGAAATAGAATTTATGTGCCCTGTATCTATTTGTTGAATAAGATTGGTAAGTCAATGTACTTTTTGGTATTGTAGAAATAGGAATATGTTTATTCAGAAACAACAAACATACAAATTTAATGAAATGTTAAAAATATACCAATATAGTTTCCTCTGAAAAATAAGCCAGTCATCTACATTGAGACTAATGTCCCAACATTGATAATCTGTAGCCCCTTCAGAGGCCGAGTTAACACAATCGAAAATATAGATTATGTATAAAGGTATATACTATATTTTCACTTATGTTTTTTACATATACAAGTTCAAATGGGTCTATAAAAGACAAAAAAATATTTAACAGGTCTCATTATAATTTCTAGATCAAATAAGCATAGAAGAATTGGATGTAATTTACAAGATACCTCACTGTGTACCAATATCGGCACATCACAGATGGAATTTTGATGATCTACTGGAGAAGATGTGGGAATACCTAAAATTAATCAGAATATATACAAAGCCGAAAGGACAACTGCCAGATTATAATTCACCGGTTGTACTGCATGCGGACAAAACTAGTGTAGAAGATTTTTGTAATAAGCTGCATAGGTCGATTGTGAAAGAATTCAAATAGTAAGTATTTGTAATAACCTATTTAATCTTCAGTTATTTCAGGGTTTGTATATATAGTGTCAAGAATGTGAACAACTTCTTGTCTGTAAAAGAAATTCATCAGACACATTTCACATACATAAATAGTATGTGTAAATAAATGTAAAACAATACACAATTAACATAAAATATAATTGATGTCTTTTTAGGTCTCCTAGAACCAGTATGGTTTAAAATTAATTAAAAAAATATATAAATCTTAAAATGTAATATGTTTTTATAGAAAACAAATAATTATAGACTTAAATACTGTCTATAGTTTACGCGAGTAGTACACATTTAATAATTGTTTCGGTGCCGTGCCGTGGTCACGGAGAAACGTCGGGCCGTAGTTAAAAATAATTTTCAAATAAGTTTAACTAATATATCGCGTTTTAAACCGTTAAAGTGTTTTATTTAAATTATAGACTTGACCGCAGAGCTCGCTATCTAAAGACTTTCTAAAGACTGTTTCTATATAAATCAATATGTCTTCAAATGACTACTCATTTTTTTTTACTTTTTATCATATATTTTAGGACTTGTTTGATCACCATATAAAGAAACTTTCTGAAAATAATATATATTGTTGAAGTACATGTTATTTAAGCATACTTATTGTTTAGTTAGTGTGGCATTTCAAATACAACTTTACTCTAAAATAATTAAACGATTAATTTTTAATTCCAGCGCTTTAGTATGGGGCTCTTCCGTGAAGCATCAACCGCAGAAAGTTGGTATTGAACATGTCCTAGCTGATGAAGACGTAGTCCAGATTGTCAAGAAAGTATAAAATTTAAGAAAAATACATCTTCTATTGCAGTTTAAGACTTTCAAGTGAAACTTCTTAATGATTCGATTCTCTCTTTGGTTTGATTACATTTTTTATGTTTTTCATATTTATTAGTAACTATAGCACCATTGTTCCTTACTGTTATCAGTATAATATTTATTTAAGCAGGCTTAAACATTTATAAGTAATTTATGTATTTTTGTTTAAAAATATAACCTAATTTTAATACTATCAATGGATTGACAGTGTTAATCGCTTCTTGGAAATTCCATTTCAAACTACGATTGATCGTTAGCAACTTAAAGTTATTTGATATCGTTAAGGCTTTTTATCAATTGCTTTATACAAGGACTGTTATCAAACGTCGAAGGATTTCAACACAAGTAAACTTCTGAGGTTTGGTCAATCGTAAATATAACTGTATAAAATTGAAAAAGATTTATTATCTTTGTGAAATGATATGTAGCCGGCTTTAATATTAAAACGAATTTGACCGATGCAAACAACCATTTATACTTGTTGTCTCCAAGTGTGTTTGGATTTTTCGTTTTTGTATTGCACAAGCAGATTGTATTTTATAGAATTTTTCTAAGGACACAATAATAGTGCAACTGAGATTGTTTCGTATAAGCATTTATAAAGTTTGCAGTTATTTTTTCATTAAACTTGTACATTACATGTTACATTGTAACAAATATAATAAATAACGTTATTATATTATTTCTATTTATTTCCGTAATATATCTAAAAAAGACTCAATTATTATCCCACGGCATAAATTGGTTAAAAAAGACTTAAATTATCTAACAATGTCTTTTACGTGTAATTCAAGGAAGTGTATTCAATGTGTGGAGGAAGTTGTACATTTTAAATGTTTTTATTAATATTATGAAAAAAATGTAGCCACAGGGACAGGAACTGCAATAAGGTATTAGCTATCGATAGTCTGTAGCCACTAGTGAAATACGTATTCTAAAGTGTAAAAAAAAACGTATAATAATATTATAGTACACTAACTTATAGAGTATAATCTGTGGTTCAACCTATTTTTACGCATCTAAGCTGTCATCTGTGACAGGTAAATTGTCAGTGCCAGCGGAATGTTACAATGAACCCATATTATGTTTACTTTATATTTTGCTAATAAATATACAACGAAATTCAGTAATATTGCGTCAACAAAATATAAGTTTAAATTAATTTGATACTCTTTTCACATTGTTCTGCAAATCTTAATTCTTCGCCAAATAATTAAAATAGTCAGTTGTAGGAATTTCAAAAAGAAGTTTTCAAACTATAAAACAAATGGCGATCTTTTCAAATCTATCTTCCACGCAGGTAAGTTAAATTAGCTTTAAGAATACTTTGCTTAATACTATTTATTGTAAGGATTGCTTTATTATTATTGTTACTCAATATAATTTACATTTCGTAGAGTATTATTATTATTTAGTTAGTTATCAAATCTTATAGGTATTGTATGTATTTATATTTTATATATTTGAATCTATATTATACTTGTTATAAATTTGTCATATATATAAACTATTACGTAACTTCTATATAGCGCGGTAAGTTACTGACAGGAACATTTTTTACACGAAAAAGTAATACATCTTAAACATATTAATATTTTTCACGAGGTTTGAATCTGATCTCTTGTTCTACCAAAACGTATCGTTAAAGTATTTGGTTTTGATGTAGTTGAAATTTCGTTTCAGAAAGTGCAAGCTGCGTTATATCGCGATGTACGTTCGATTTGTACAGAGGCGTGTCACTTCTTGGGTTTGGAAATCACGAAACCGGCAATGGAAATTATTTCCGAACTAGTCTTTAAAAAGTGTGCGGTTTATGGTACAGACTTAGAAGCATTTGCAAAGTAAACTATTACTTTAAATGTTTATGGAATGCTTTTCAGCAATTTTTATTGTGATATATTCTTATGTGACATTCTTTTCAGACACGCAAAAAGGTCTACTATTAACGCAGAAGATGTAAAGTTGTTAGTTAGAAGAAATCCGTCCTTGGTAATTTTTTTTAGCCTCATTTGAATCTTTAAGGTAAACGCTTAGAGATTAAAATTACGATTAATAATCTATAAGCGTTTACCTGAATCCACAAATATTTCATCGCCATCGGACGTTGAAATATTTGTGAATTCAAACTTCACGGACGTCCTATCCGCGGACGTCACTGAATCAAAAAGTCTCTTAAAAACCAACCTAAGAAAAAAGTTGCGTGTTTAATGAAATATAAAACTTTTATATAATGCCGAGATCCAAAACTAAGGCAATATTTATTTTCGTTGCTTGCGTATTTAGACTTCATCAAATGATAACTAAATACTTAAATACAAATTGATCGAGTCATTATTAAACATATGTCTGATTATATTTAATAGTCTGGAATATTATATGTGTTCTGCACGATCCCCGCCAAATCCAACTTGTTTCTAAAACTTCGCCTGGAAAAATTGCATATTATATAAATGGTACGAATGTCAAAATACCGTCCAGGTCACGAACCACCGTTCGCAGTTGTTCTTCTTCTTGGATTGGATTCTTGCATCTCCTCATTCGTGGACATTTGTCCAGATCTTTCAGCTTCCAACTACTAAATCGGCTATACGAAGTGTCCTCATAAGGGGTACAGTACAAAACAAAGCGGCCGCTAGCTTAAACGCCCGGTCACTTGTAAAGGCTACGAAAATGCGTAATCATTAAAAAAAGTAATCTTAAATACTGTCTATAGTTTACGCGAGTAGTACACATTTAAATAAAACACTTTAACGGTTAAAAATGCGATATATTAGTTAAAACGTCGGGCCGAAGTTAAAAATCATTTTTAAATAAGTTTAACTAATATATCGCGTTTTAAACCGTTAAAGTGTTTTATTTAAAAAAGTAATCTTGCTTACGATTGCGTTATTCCGAATACTTACCTAAAGCCTGCAGGTATCCATTTACCATTAAGTAAACCCCCTGTTTGTCTGTCTTCTGTCATACAAAAAGGTGCTTACACTTAAATTCTCAACAAACATCTGACGACTGGCAATAATGAATCTGTTAGTGGCTATTAAAATAGCAATTTTAATTCAAATTCGATTCTGAATCACTAACAATCCGTATGATGGAGCTTGTTATTTATGCAACCGCTGTTTTCAAGGGAAAATCATAATATAATTGATGTTCTCGCCATGTAACTAGTATATTAATAACAAATGACAATATGATTTGTCCGCCACAAGTAAATAAGCTGGTACGAATTTTCGTTCACACGTTATTTTGTTCATTTGGATCGCGTACTACGTTTTAAATCAGGATAGTAGCAAAGTATCGATAACATATTTAAAATAAGCAAGAAAATTTAAAACACTTTTAACGGTTTGAAAGACGTTTCAGCTGTGAAACTTTTAAAATCGTTTTACCGGCTTTTAAATTGTTAAGAGTCTTATTTAAATGTAATAAGTCTGTATGTAGTATTAACTACAGACAGACCACTGAGAGAGTACTTATAAGCAAGAAAGAAAAATATATGATGCTTGTATGTATGGAGTATTGTTAAGTGGAGAAGCGTTGTTTTCATGATATTTTATTTAACAACTTCTTTAGAAAAACAAATCATTGACATTACAAAAAGAAAAACACACACAACCTCCTTTTATTAATTAATCCGACAATAGAGCTTTAGAGTCATTAAAATCAACGTGTATATATTTTTTATCTAGAAAGCTCGCCTGAACTCAATAAGTACCAATTCAACATCGAAGGAGAAAAGACGGAAGACCTTACCTTCAGTTATGAAGCAGGTGGAAACGCCTAAAACAAAAGAGAAAAGTGACAATGATGTCGAACATAATATTATGGCTATCGATCAAACGATAGATCTTACTTTTGAATAAAATGCTACGAGTTAAATTTGGTTGTTTTGTTTATACCATGCAAATATGAAAGGGGAGGAAATAAAAATGTTAGGTCAAGTGATAACTGTTATTTTTTTAACCAATACTTACCGCTCAAACACTGTGATTTTTCTTAAAGTCAGTATTCAAAAAATAAGATAAAACCAACAATAATTTATATAATCACGTCTTGTCATTCCTACCCATACACATGACATTGGCAGGTTCCATTTAGAATGATAACGCCATCAAACAAGAAGAAGAAGAAACTTCAAGGTATAATATGCGAAAGTAGTTTAGAAGAAGAAATATCTAGAAGAGAAGATGTCACTTTAAAATGAAAATATCCTAAATTAAATTAGTGTCCTTAGTTTCTATGTCTAAGTTATATTCTGAAGTGTCATAGCTAATTTCAGCTAGATAATGTATAGTACGGCTAGTAGAAAAAGGAAAGCATGCTTGTGGAACCGGGGACATGCGAGAGCGTGCTGCCAAAAAACTCGTTATAACCAAACACAATTACTGTATACAAACAAAAAAGGTATAGAGCCGCTATTGATGGTATGTATATTCGTGCTATTTATTTTCAGGATAATCTTTATTATATTACATTAAATATTTACTAATTTATTAAATATAGTTATTATATAAACATACAAATATGTATAAAAATAATTTCCAATAAGGGTGTTTGAGCGCAGTTTGTTTGAAAACAGTTTGAGCGCTTTAATGAACTTTTAAGACTTATTTTCTGTAAAGACAAATTGTACTCGTGCTCTTTGGTACCATTTGTCTAATTTAACTTGTATGAAGTAGGTATGTAAGAGTCAAAACGCCCGACGCGTGAAACAACAGATAGTTTATAGAAATGTACTGAGAAATTAATCGGTTCTCGAGTGCCGCACAAGCAGACCGAAGATTGCCGAGAGCACCCGATGTTTGACGAACTTTAACAAAAAAGTGACCATTTTGCTTCAGACGAATTTCGTCGCGTATTTTATGTCAATTGTTGTTTAAGTAAAGTGCACCACGAATTCCATAACCCACCAGCCGCCTCTAGTAGCAACGGACTTGGTAACGCTGTTTGTTCTGGGTTCGAGTTCTGCGTCTTTAATTATCCAATCTATATTGTATTTATTTTAATTACATAAATTTTCGATGCAATAATTATTATAGCTATTAAAATCGATTTTATTAGGCGAGTCTCCATGTATTTCGTGTTCCAGGTAGTTAATTACTCCTATAACGACAGTTAGAGCATAATGAGATTTTTGCAATTCAACAGTAGCACACATTACAGGGTGTCAGTCCACCACACCACCCAACGTGGCCCAGGGGTTATTAGCTGGGCTTGTTAATGAATTTTGTCTAACGATGGCTCACAAAAAGTTTTGTCTGTGTGGTCTTTTTTTACGAATAAATTAATTGTCGCACAAACAAAGTTACAATCGTAACTTAATCATCCTAGCTATATTTTGCCTCTGTGTTGCCTTACATTGCGTTAAGCGATACAGAAGTCTAATAACTACTGACACAAAAATGTGTCGCCCCAATCCCGACGCGATATAACACGGAAAGCTCTTTGGCTTCATAAGACTATGTTTATCTCTATTCACCACTTTGAGCCAATTCGAACAAGAACGCACAACTCTAGTCAACGTATGGATAGATCAACACGATATAAAACCATTTTTCCGAAGGCTGTGTTCCCCGAGCGAGTAATTTTAGAAAAAATATTGAGCTCAAGCTATAAAGAATGTATATTGTATCTATATTTTTTTTTTATTTGAATAGGTTAAAAACAAAAAAAAACTCCGCTTTAAAAAGTTACTCCGAATATCCAAAATCAAAATAAGTCGTTAGGATATGAAGTGAAGTTATAAAAAAAAACAAAGTTGACTGTAGTTTACGCGAGTAATACACATTTAAATAAAACACTTCAACGGTTTTAAATGTGATAAATAAAGGTAATGTTAAACTTTGACATCAGACCATAGTCTTCACGTGACCACGGCTGTTGCAAGTTTAATTAATATATAACGCGTTTTAAACCGTTAAAGTATTTTATTAAAACCACTATCAAAATGCAATAGTATTAATATAAGCGTGCTGTGAGCACACGCTAAAATTCCACAGACTAATAGCTCAGTGCGATCTAGGCTACGTCTAGGAGCGACCAAGTATACATGAGCAGAGATAGGCCTGCGGTGCTCATTAAAATATGTAAATGTTTCCGAGACATTACGCAGATAGGTGCTTCTGACTTATTGACTGGATGGCTTCAAGCGCTCCTAATATTTTGTGCAGCTTTCCTGCCCGTATACAAAATGATATGAGGCCGCTAGAGGCAGAGTGGCTTAATAACAAAAAACATGATTTTCAATAAGGAGGAACTATTATACTATTATTTGTGTACAAAAATGTTGACAATTTTCGGTCACTGTGCTCATGTAGATTATCATTTTTATACTATGAAAATATAAATAACTCAAGTCATAAAATTGCAGTTAGGCCACGCTGCCTCTAGCGACCTTATGTGATTACATTGGAAACCGACGTATGAGTTAAAATATTGTAGTAGGCAAGCCATCTCGGTGACTCAGTAAATTTTGGGTTCGAATTCTGGAGTAACAATATTATATCGATTATTAGCTTAAGCAGTGTACATAGGCCTCATCGCAAAAACTTCCAGAATGACCGGTCCTTCGCTACTTGAATCCAGCTTTCTCCTTGACCAGCTTGTCTGTTCACCTGGAAGGAGCTTCCGTGTTTTTAAGTTCTAAATGTTGATACCCGAACAGCACCAGAGGCCAAAAATGTTACGAAGCTTACCGTTCTGTTCGTCTGGCCTCTTCGATCATAAAAAAATGATTAAGTTGATTACAACTTACATTAGTGCGACAGGACACAATAAACGAATAATATTTTTATTCAAAACAAATATGCATGTGTTCGTTAGTATTATTTAAATTACATTTTATAATTATTATATATAGAAGGTAAAAAGTATAAACTAACGGTTACATAACAACACAAAATAAACCGTTGTCCCCTTCTATTCTAATAATTTTATTTCGTATTATTTATCCGGTTAAGTTAATCGAATTTTCACTGTTACCTACTATAATTATTGATACATGGAAATATATTTTAAACAAACAATATTCTAACCGGCTCAAAGCTAAAAAAGTCGAAATATTTACAACACACAGAATAGATAGTATTGCCGTTTTTACTACGCTTAATAGTCTATTTTCTAGGAGTTTTTAGGAATAACGAAGCTGTTAATTAAAATTTACACACACACTGTGCCATAATTTATACTTGCATGTACTGGGAAACATACTCAACAAAATGGTTTGCATATTTCAGCCCGATATAGCCAACAAACACAACAATTAAAAATCACAAAGTATCGCTTTCAATATACATAATTATGATCTATACCGGGGCTCATTATTTATGAAATGTTCTATTGCGGATAGCACTTAAAAACAAGTTTAACTGTTTTAAACGCGAAATGATATTTTCTAACCTATTTACATCTCCCTCGCGACCGCGGCTGCTGCAAAGCAACGAAAACTCCAGGCTTTCTCAAAAGAATTGTAAACAAGTTAACCAATATATTTAGCGTTTTAAACCGATAAAATTGTTTTATTTAAATGTGTACTACTTCTAGACTATAGATGATACCTAATTTATGAGTACTGTGTCAAAAAATATGGTTCGCCAGCTGCTATTGTTGATTGACAGATCTATAATAATTATAATACTAAGACTGCCTGTATGGTGAATGAAAAAAGTATACAAATATTCAATCAGAAATACTAAACACTACTAAAATAATTGCATAACACCATCCCGCGTTTGTGAACGCATTACTGGTATACGGGGCACCTACCGCGCGCAACTATTTAGTATCATTACAAATGTCGCTCTGTCCGTCTGTGCGCTGCTACCGTTCCTTATTAATAACGAGTCGAAGTACGATTATTGTGGACATGGCTACGTTAGAAACGCCCTTAAACGCCTTAAAAATTAAATAAAACTAACAGATATAGAAACCTATAAGAATATTGAATATAAAAGAAATAGCAACCTTTTACAAGCATTGCTTGGAAATCGATGTGAAGCAAATGTATGCTATGGGCTATGGTAGATAAAAGGACTACGTTAGTGGCATAGAATATGGTATAGCAGTATATAAAGAAAGTATTGGACCCTCGGAGTATATTCTCTTTGGCTCTTGACTGACCCCCCGCCACGCTAAATGTGGTCCAGCAGGGGCGTCGTTAAAGATTCGATTCCTCCAAGTAAAAAAAAAAACATGCAGCACCAAAAAAATGATCTTACGTTAGTACATCACTGAACTAAGCTGAGAATTGAATACGTTTTTGAAAATTTAGGTCCTATTTTAGTTACATCTAGTGCAAGCTTACAATAGACAACAAAAGACTAATACAGCATATTTAGCATATCGTTGTTTATCGGGCTGTTTGGAGGTTCTCTACGTTTAGCCATCATGGGCGGAGGGCATCAACGGGAGATGTTAGCTCCGCCGCGGTCTCACTTCCCCACCACACACCGCTCCAACATCTGATGATGCCGTCCGCTCGTGATGGCGAAACGTCGAGAACCACTTCTCGCTCACGTCGGCCGAACAGCCCGAAAAACAATGACAAACAAAAGACTATTCCACACTAATCCAACACCGTTCGTTACTTGAGTTCGCTGAGGTAAGCAAGAGTGTTGTTTTGTTCTGTCCTCGTCATTACGTACCTTTCAGCTCATTACAGTTACTGCCAACAGATCACTCGCTTAATTTGTGCATTTCCGATCCGAAGATATTCAAATTTCAACCGTAATGACGGGAGGGAAATGATAATAAAATGTTAATGCTGTGAGAGGGCTTCGCGAGTACAATAAGACGCAGATTTGCTTGACAGACGTCTCGTTTACAAGTCACGATTTGTTTTTTGTCTACTCTATTATTTATGAAG